CTTGGACATCAAACTCGCAGTATCGTCAAAAGATAATGATGGTGCGGGAAATAGTCTGGGTTTTAAAGAAAATGCTTTGTCACAGAATAATAGTCTGTTAAAGGTGCCAAGTATGAAATAATTTGGGGACAAAAAAACAAACCTGCATAGAAATCGGAATAATAGGTCTTTTGATTATCGGAGACGCATTTCAATGGACTTGATTACGGACAATGCATAACTTAAATTTCACCAGGAAATTCCGCAGCGTGCTCTCGCAATCGCGTACTTAGTCATTTTTACAAGGTTCGCCATTTTTGATGTCACGTGATAATTATGTAAACAATGTCTGTCCAGTTTGTGCGAACTTGCACCTCTATACTTAGTCTTTTGATATATATAACCTAAATTACTGTTCTGAACGAGACAACAGACAGAGGATGTTTTATTTAAAAACGTCACAAAACCTTCTCGCTACCTTAACATTTTTGGCAATAATAATTCATATTTCATTTTTGTATCCAAAACATCACCGTGACCCACTGCAAAGATCACCCTTGGGGTATGTTTCACCACCTGGGAGATCACCGTGACCCACTGCAAAGATCACCCTTGGGGTATGTTTCACCACCTGGGAGATCACCGTGACCCACTGCAAAGATCACCCTTGGGGTATGTTTCACCACCTGGGAGATCACCGTGACCCACTGCAAAGATCACCCTTGGGGTATGTTTCACCACCTGGGAGATCACCGTGACCCACTGCAAAGATCACCCTTGGGGTATGTTTCACCACCTGGGAGATCACCTGCTGTAGCAGAAACAAGTATTATAATAAATATCGTAAAAACTAATGCAGTAGTAAAAAATAATTTTCTTCAAGAGCATGAATTATTGTGGTACAAATGAAAATTTGTGTTCAAATTATTTGTGTACAAAAAACAAAAGGATGAAAATAAATACAGAGAGATTTGCCAGGATATAATCTAGCATTGACATGTTTAGTGAAAATTTCTCACACAATGAGTGTCATTCTGATGTAGCTTTGTAGAAGGTGTGCAAATCTGCCAAAAAATAAGTTTTGCCCAAGATGGTGCCCCTCCCAAATATATGATGCAAATTTGATAGATGGATTTAGATGTGATCATAAATTCTAAATTTACTTTTGGGAGCTATTAAACCTTGATTCAGCTAATCAGATGGTGGCTAAGTTCAAATTATCTATCATGGTTCTGATTTCATCTCTCACTGTTTATTTTAGTTAGTGGACTTACCATGTATTATAGAATCCCACAAAACTGTAGACAAGAAAACATTTTACAAAGCAGCAGATATTGCTCAGGTAAGAACATGATCACTTGGTTTCCTTGGTTATCATTTCCATCATGGTGATGTGGTCTTGAGTTCTAAACATTGTTGCGGTTCAGACAGTACATGGTTTTAGAGTTGCATCAAACTTTATTATGAGACAGTCGGTACAAGCAAGTTGCTGTATTGTTACAATAACCTTGAAAATGTATACATCTAACACAAAAGACAACACATGTTCTAAAACGTATCAGCACTCATTCAAAAACAAAAGATGTATAATAATAAGCTTATCACAAGAATACCATCAGGTAACAACAGGTTGCATCAACCTCCGCTACGCATTATTCGTTATGATCACCGTACTGCCGTTGCATAAACCTCCGCCACGCATTATTTG